AGCGAACGTTCCAGTCGAGAGATCACCAGGGAAAATAGCAAAGCGCCCTCTGATAAACCCGAAGCGAGTGCCGGGGAGGTTTTTGACATTGAATTGGCGGTCACGATCGACGCTCGAACCGGCCGACAAATCTCACATCCACCAGAGGGCATAGTGAGCGACACCACTTCAGCGGCCCTGCGACATGAGATGCCTACCGAAATTCCTCCGACCATCTCTCTCCACCGGCATGAACAGCCTCGTCCGCTTTTAGGAAAGCTTACTACTCTCCCGGGATCGATATTCGACCTCACGATCCGCTTGGAAGATCGAATGACATCCTGGGGCCGTGGTCCTCTAGCGACAATCTGCCATCCTGACCCTATGGACACGAGGATTCCTGCATACGCACTGGAAGTGACTTTCTGGGCGCCGGCTATTGAGGCTCAGATTGCGGCAGGGCGCAACTGGATGGAGGTTCCTGGAGTAATGGCTATTCTTTCGACCAAGACTCGCAAGTGCATCTGGGTCAATGACACAGAACTGCGCCGTGGGTCAGAGGGAAGCAGCACTCGGGAGGGGTTCCACTTTGGGAAACTGTACACCGGTGATATCATCACAATCTACAGACATCGCAACAAATTCTTGAAGTTTCAGTGCGAATTCTACCATGGGGACAGTGCACGTTCGCGACCAGAGGAGGAAAAGGGCTTCGTGGTGCGGAAGGTGTTGATGTCTAAGGAGGGCGTGGCTGCCAATCGACTGCCGGTGCGCAAAGACAACGACGGGGGAAAGAAACAGGGCATAAATGTAAGATGAGAAAGGGCACTTGGGTTAGGTACATTTGGGATGGTCATCTGCTTTTTTTTTGGATGGTTTATGGCGCCGCTATTGTTAGCAATTGTTAGCTGTTCAATTACGGAACACTACGTTTCTGCGAGGTTTCGTTGGGGATCAGCATCCGAGTTGAGCATACAGCATTGGTCCAAGTTCTGGGATATCTGTAAATCACGTTGAATTAGGCCAAATGCTTACTGCTTCTCAATCATTCTTGCCCCGTAAAATCGAATGGGGGTTGTCCTACTCACTGTATCCATATGTATTTCCAAGATAGCCTAGCGATGTCTGCAGGTGCGCCAAGCCACGCATTTGTCGATCATCACTTTTTGTAACGAATGGGGTCATTAGATATTTCAGGGTCCAATGAACTTCTGATAAATGGTAACGGGGTATGGTAATTGTATGGTAATTCCCATTTTATTGAGTTAGGTTGTAGCCCAGTATCTCACAATCTGCTAACAAGGCAAGCTGCACACTTCCGTCGCTCCAACAGTCTAGAGAGTTAAGTAGCAAGGAAGGTTGCCATCTCTTAAATTACTCAAAGTCTACTTGATCCATCCTGCCTTCCTTCACTTGAAATCCTTTGCCATAATCCATGCTGGTCAAAGAACCGTTTAGATCTGGTTGGAATATTACTGTTCCCGATTTAATTTCCCGCTAAATGCAGACTCTCGAATCATTCTCTCTCCTCTCATGGCTGTTCCATCATGTAATCTTATTTTTGATTAAATCTGTCTTCTGACTCTGGTCAATATGTGAGACAGGCCTCATGACTGAACTATCTCTATCCGTCATGTCTCACAGGGTTGTTCATCATCATCATGTCGCTGTCAACGTAGCATCAAACAATTCTATTGTTATCGCTCATCTGTGCTCCTGTCTATCTATAGGTTCCCCCGTCAACGTTCCACGGGTTGCCCAAATCTAGTCCCTAAATTCTTCGCCCTCGACGGAAACGGGCAGACCCGTTCACGGCGAAAGTCAGTCCCCTTCGTGGTTGGATGGCTACTATTCCATTTCCGTATTGATGATTCTCCCTGGTTATTCTTTCTTTTGTTGTTTGCTGGTCAGATACTACTCCGTATCATCTTGCGCTCCTTCACGACTTCTTGGCCCTTGGCCACTTTTACTCCGCCGAAGGTCGACCTCCTGGACGCTTCCTACTTCAACAGCGACGATCCTATTATTGAGTGCCAGCAGTAACGATCGCGGTGGCCTTCGTTGATTTACCACCAGCCAAAAACCAGTGCCATCTATGAGAACCTCCGCGCCGACTTGTTCACCATCTTCAACCTCCCCGACGGCCTCGATACCCCCATGTCCCTCTCTCGATCACCCTCTCCCCACCCGGGAGGAGGGTGGTCAAGTCCGGGTCTCACGCCCGGCAGTGGCACCTCGACCCCGCGCAGCGGTTTCCTCTCACCTAACTCACTCGGTCCCAGCGGCATATCCTGGGCAGCGGCTCGAGCGAAGAGCGACGAAGTTCGAGGATATCCGTCATTCTCGACAAGGAATAACGGGTTCTTCTCCAGGTCGAAACGCAAGATCACGTCTAGCCTGCCTCGGTTTCGTATGAATGGTTCGGCGCGAAATGGATACGTTGACAAGGATGAATACTGGCGGGGCCATAACTCTTCCGGGGCAGGGTTGCGATTCGGGTTCGCCAGGGGTTTGATGCGGAGACGGCGGTCGCGGGCCTTTTTAGCGCTGATTGTCCTTGTCCTTGGTTATTTGTTCTTCTGGACAGGTATGCGCAACAAAATCCTAGCCTTGTGCGTGAACAGATATGTTGACTCTGGGTGCTTGCAGCTATTGTTCAAAGTTACCGGCGATCATCCTTTGGCGGAGGGCGCAAGTTCGTGATCATTCTACCATCCAATGTGGAAGGGGGGGTCATGGAGTGGAAGGGAGCGCGCGAATGGGCAATTGAGCGCAACAGTATCTCTAACAAGGAGGAGTACGCGAAGCGGTGGGGTTACGAACTGGAGATTGTCAACATGCTGGCCAAGAAGCGGTACTCGCATGAATGGCGGGAGAGTTGGGAGAAAGTTGATATCATCCGGGATGCCATGAGGAAGTATCCAAATGCGGAGTGGTCAGTTCGAACCGTGCACGAGGGATTTACGTTTTCTAACTGTTGATGTAGGTTTTGGTGGTTGGACCTAAATACTTGGATCATGGAGTACTCTTATTCCCTGCAAGATCATATCTTCGATCGGTTGGGCGAACTGACGTATCGCGATATCAACTTATACAACCCGCTCAACATCAGCCACCCCCCGACAGCACCTTATCTGGATGAACTATCCCGCTCGGCGGAAGGAGACGGGAATCCATCCTCTATTGAGTTGTTACTGTCACAAGACTGCGGAGGCTTCAACTTAGGTTCATTCTTCATCAAACGCTCGCTGTGGGCTGATCGACTATTGGATCTCTGGTGGGACCCTGTCATGTACGAGCAGAAGCACATGGACTGGGAGCACAAGGAACAGGATGCGCTGGAGTATCTGTACCAAAGTCAACCGTGGATTCGCAGCAATATCGCCTTTACGCCTCAGCGCTACATCAACTCATTCCCTCCAGGAGCTTGTGGTGAAGGCGGCGATCCCGACGTGCATTACTCGGTGAAGGACCGTGACTTTATGGTTAATATGGCCGGTTGTCAATTCGGCCGAGACTGCTGGGGGGAGATGTACCTATATCGCGAGCTCAGCAAGAAGCTCAACCGCACGCGCTGGCAGCGTTTGAAGGATGGAATGGGCGAACTTTACAGCAGACTACTGCCGAAGGAGGACAAGCCGCAAGAACAACAGCAATGAAACCTAGCTGTTTCTTTCATGCAATGTTGCCCCTTCGTTTCACTGCATACGATGACTTCATGAGTTGTCTTCCCTTGAGCAATATATCTCCTGTACCGATCAATTTATGACTCGATTGTTTTCCTGGATTGATCTACTTTTGCATCCTGGCTGTAACCTCTGAGGCGTCTCTGGTTTGAGGATGTTTGATTTGGCGTGGCGCTTGGTGCTTCCAATTCCATATCAGTCTACTATTATAGAATGAACCTAATTGTATTTTTTGAATGTCCGATATTGCATTGAATTTGTACCCTCACCTGGTCAGGATATCTAGATAGTCAAAAACCCGCCTTACCGCCTTAGAAAACGCACACCAAGCAGATCTCGCCCGCCTTAAATCTCACCGCCTACAACCCACCCAATCACATCATCCCAATTCCCCAATCCCATTCCGCCGACGACATCCATGAAAAGGCACAAGAATCACACCCGACAAGCCTATACTCAGCTAAACCAGCTCCTCCCAGCGCAGCGGACCTCACATCCCTCCCAGACAACCAATCCTCCTCCGACCACCTCCACCAACAAAAAGAAAAACGAATCAAAATGCCCACCCCCGAATCCGCCGCATTCCTGGCTAAGAAGCCCACCGTGCCCCCAACATACGAAGGCGTCGACTTCGAGGACAATGTCGCCCTGCACAATGCCCGTGACGCCATTATCCGTGAACAATGGGTGCGCAGCATGATGTCCCGACTTGTCGGCGAGGAATTGGGCAAGTGCTATGCTCGTGAGGGGGTAAACCATCTGGAGAAGTGTGGGAAGTTGAGGGGTGAGTAGCTCGTCTCTCTCCGGGTCCCTCTCTGGGTTGTGGTGGCATAGCTAATGGGTTACGATTGCAATCTGCAGAGAAATATTTCGAGTTGCTGAAAGAGCGCAAGGTTAAGGGTTATCTGTTCCAGGAGAAGAACTATTTTGCGGGCGAGGGGGAGAAGTCGGCGTGAACGATATGCTTGGGTTTGTGTTTTTAGCTTTGCAGTGAATCGATGAGTGCCATCCTTTTTCCTTGTCTTTCGGTTGAGGGTGGAGATGAGCTAAACATTGCTGGGGAGGCCTGGCATTGAGTGACAAGTAGGATGGGCAGGGGATTGTTGAGGTAGATGGATTGTATTGTTTTTTGTTCGGGTTTCCTGTACATATATCTTGACACTGACACCATTGCAATACATCATTACATGTTCATTCGAGGTCGGAGCGAACATGCCGTGTAGACTGATGTCAGTCTTCCACAAGGCCATGGCTCTGAGTTCTTCTACGCTTGTGAGTATGTTGTGTATACAATGCATTGAACGTCATCGTATTCTTGAACTAAGCAGGGTATCGTCAATAATAAGTGCTTTCGCTTCGCTCTGGAAACGCTCCTGGAGCAACCCCGGCAGGGCTAGTCAACTCGTCGTCACTGTCATCCATGTCCATACGGGGCTCGTAGTCATCCTCTGCCGGTGGTGCACGCATTCGCACGAGTTGTTCCTCGTCCAGGGACGGGAGCTTATAGGGACCAGGTGGTGAATGGATATCGCGACCGGACGGCAGGTTGGCCAAGAGGTCCGTCGAAGGTGGAATGAGTTGTGTGTTGATCTGTCGATCTGTCAATGATCTTCCATGCCCAAGGACTGCAGAAATTGACTTACCGTGTCGTTCATCCTCTCCCACTTTGTCTCTAGCATTTCAATCACACGGCACTCTTCTTCCCTGCTTGCATCATCGCCGGGATCGAGCTCACCCTTCGCGGCGCGGTCTTTGCCGCCCGACTCCTTTTCCAACCGTCGCTCCTCCCGTCGCTCAGCCCATTCCTTCTTCAATCTAGAAAAGCCCCCTTTGCTCTTGCCTGAAGCTTCTTTCTCTCCCTGAGATGCACTTCTCAGACCCAACGCGCCCTTCGCTGCTCGCAGCCAGGCAATCCCCTCCCCTATCTTCCCTGCAAGCTCCGCATCAACGCCGAAAAACCGACAAGCCCGAGCCCGCGCAACACGGCCTAGAACCCGCGCATAGCCGACCACATCTTCGTCAATCCCGGTCTTCCCATGCGCGCCAACCGCTCCCATGCCAGCAGCCGCCTGCTCCGCATACTCGGCAGCACGAACGCACAGGCGCGCAAAGAGCAGCGCACGCACCTTGGGGATCTCCGGCGCCCGCACCATCCAGTCCTTATCATTTGGGTTTCGAGCCTGTATGCAAGCCGCAACATAGGAGTCGTCTTTCAACACAGCCAGGAGTGTTGCTTCGGCCAACGCGAGTGACGACAGTGCCGCCTGAGCCGCCGGATCCAGGTCTGGTACGGCGGTGGCTGTGCCCGTCTGGCGTGCTGCGCCTGTAAACGAGGGCGAAGACGCGAGCAGGGAGTGTACTGCGCTCGCTTGCAGGAGGTATTTCGTGGCGGTTTGGACGGCTGCGGTGCGCTGTTCTGGGGTCGGGGTGGTAGGGGCGTAGAGCGCGCGTAGGACGCCTGAGCGAGCCAAGCTGTTCAGCACGTAGCCTAGGGTCGTGAGGACGAAGGCGATCTCAAAGTCGATTCCTTGTCCGCGGACTCGGCTGTTTGTCGGTCGGCTTTTCAGCGATAACGGGGAAGAGGATAATGTAGCGCGCCATTCTGTTTCGATCTCGCTGTGGAGAGTGACCTCGATTTCTTCACCACCTGTGCTACTTCCACTTTCGACAGGTCTGCCGCTCAGTCCATGAGAGATAGCAGTGAGATACGGCAGGTAGTCGTTCAGCGCGCCGAGGATTGTGATGAGGTGGGCATCTCGTTGCGGACTGTGGGGTAGTCTTTTGTGGGCCTTGAGGGCGAGTCGCAGTGCATGCCGAGCGGTAGACGCAGCCTGGGGTAGAGATGGATGTGTGCTAGATGAGAGAAATGTCTGAAATGAAAGATGCGCGGTGGTGGGGAGAGCAAAGGCATACACCATGGTGCTGGAGTTCTTTACTGAATGCGGAGGTTGAAGATGGCGGGGATGAGGAAGCGAAAGGATGAGCCGTTGATGTCACCGCGAGGCCAAGAGTTGTCTCCATAGCACAGCCTATTACAGATATAGCCTACAAATCTAAAGCATATATTCAGGTTGCGCTAAACATTGTCTCTCTGGCTACTGCCAATATAAGAGCATTTTGGTATTTGGCTCCACTTCATGGCTAAGTACATGACCTAGATATAAGCTATCTATTGTTGCTGGAAACTGGCGTAACCACGGATTGACCTGTCAGGGGCATTTCATAATCTCGCAAGATCATAGTATATTCTGGAGAGAAACAAGTCGTGTCGTCAGCCCCGTCCGGTCGTTTGCCTGGCCAAGGCTTGGATCTTTACCTCGATCGTGAAGGCACATCAGTCGGCCACGATGTCGAGATTGGAGGCGAAAATACTGACGCTTCGCAAATCAAGCATGGGCCTGCTCCAGATTTATTCAGCCTTCATACTGAAATCTGACTGAGACGCCAGGCGCGATGTGGAGGCGGACTTCGAAGACTCTCGGCTGCTTGACTGTTGCCGTTGATGGTCGGTCTTGCTATAATCTTTGGTGAACCTTTTATCGAGTGTGCATGGTTCGAGTATCTTATTGAATGTCGGGCGATTTCGCTGCATCCATCACACTTCCATACCATCTGCTTCTGACAAATTGCTGGGTGCACTACTGACACCAGACGAGTCGCTCTCAGCAACATATGGCGCCCGCGACCGGACTTGATGGCTCCATTCTTGGATGGTGGGAGCACCTCCTTCTATGACGATCGGATGCTCCTCGGCGCTTTTGCCAAGTACAGTGCCCGCGTACCTGGACTCCTCGCCTGTTTTGCTGTGCTTTTTCTTCAGGGCTGTAAGGAAATCCTCCTTCTCCACAGACTCGGGGTCGATCATGTCACCCTCGCTAGGTAGGAAGCCAGCCACTCGCCGGATTTCACGGTTTGCTGGTCCTGTGAACCAGCCCAAGAAGTTATCTAGTCCCCGCATATCTTCCTCTCCTTGCCAATCCTCCTCCCATTCGCGCAATTGCGGTCGTAGTGCGCCAACGTCCTGGAGTGCTTGGTAGACGTCTTCCAGCACCGGCGCAGGGGCAGGATCGTTCGGGTGAGCGTTGGCTGCATGGGACGCAACAGAGGATGCGAGGATCATCATATAGCGAGCTGTAAGATCGGCTAGTGTATCTAAGACGGACGGACGCGTGGCATGGAAGCCAGCTGCGCGCAAGATCTGAATAATGGGTGGGCGGAGGAGAGCATTGTGTAGGTTGGGCCCGGACATGATGCTACTACCGGTCAGTAGAATGTAGCAAATAAGATAAAAGATGACAGGCAAGCTGTAGCAGAGATATACTGATCGAGTAACAAAGGGACAACTGTGAAATGACCAGTGTTGGGTGAATTATTGATTGAGAGGTGAGAGAAAGGCGGAGCGAGAGATCAACACTTTCTGCCGGTTGTTCTCTTACTTCGGCGGACTTTCTTGTCTCCTTCCACCTGCGTCTTCTCTCTCATCACGACAACGGCACAGCACGGTTCTAAAGCATTACTTCTTTGTTCAAAGCTCATCGGTGTCTGTGCAGTTCTGTGGAGTTGCTCTGTTGTCCTAATCATACATCATCATCATGTCCGACGCCCCTCGCCCTTCACTCAAGCTCACGCTGGGCAAGAAGAAGGCGCCCGAGGGAGCTTCGCAGCCACCGAGTCAGCCTCCCCCTCCCTCATCAGAAACACCTCAGCGCAAGATCACTTTGAAAATCGCGCGGAAACCTCAACCGGCCGAAGAGGGGGAGAAGGCAAAGAAGAAGAAGCCATCGAAAAAGCGACCAGCGGAGGGACTCGCAGGTCCCTCTGCACCTGAGGCGTCGGCGCAACCCGTGGGACCGAAACGTATCAAGCTCAATGCTTCCAAGAAGCCGGGAGTACAGTCGATCCGAATCAAGAACAAGGGGCTGGTCCCCAACAGACCTGTCGGCGTTGGCTACGACTCTGAAGCCTCTGATACGGAAATCGATCCTTGCATCGAGGAACAATTCATTTTACGCATGCTTCCCGGCGAAGACTGCGAATATTTACGTCAAGCGATCAACGAGCGACGATTCGATCGGTCCGAATTTTCCTTCAAACCCCTCACGCGCGAGGGCCGGCGCGCCGTCCTGCGGATACGCGATAAACAGTACGCGGCGGCGCTGGTGGACTTGCCATGTATCGTCGAAGGTATGAAGAGTTGGGATCGGCGTGGATGGTATAAGTCTGCGGATATCTGTCAGATGCTTTTAGTCTTGGGGCCTGTTTCGAGCGATGCAGAGGCCCTCAGTTACCCTCTTCCATCCGACGTCGAGATACTAGACGACAAGACTTTACAGTATCCGCATGGTCTGACACCCCCTTTGCGCTACGTGAGAAAGCGGCGGTTCCGCGAGCGGCTCAGCACGCGGACGATAGAACAAGTCGAGAAGGCGGTGGAGGATCTGATCGCGCAAGACGAAGCCGCTATTGCCTCTCGCTACGAATTGTTGGACAAAACATCATTGAACCGGGCGGAGGGACTTGTCCAGAGTGGAGAGTATTACGAGGAAGACGAATATTATGACGATGAACAGGACGCAGAGGGCGAGCTCGATGAGGGCATGGAGGAAGTCGCTGCCGATGATGGAGGTCTCGATCCTCTCTTGGAGGAGATGGAGGCTGCTCTGCGCGGAGACAATGAAGCGCAGCCACAGGGAGCACCTTCCTCGGATACTGGCCTTGCGAATCTCTATCAAGCTGGAACTCCAATGGCGACTAAACCTTCCACACCTGCAGCGGATACATCGGGCGATGAAAGTGACTCAGATGCTGAGGAAGAGGCGGATGTGCCCGAAGACGAACTGGATGACGAGCAGCTTGAGCAACAGCGGCAGTTCCAGCAGCATCGCGAAGAAATTGCCGAGCTCGAGGCCCTTATTCGCGCCGAGACGGTCAAGTGGGAGAATATGCAGAACCAAATCTTGAAGCACAAGCTTGCCAAGCGTATCCAGGACTTGAAGCGGGACCTATCCTTGAAGAAGGTCTCCGTTGGTGAGGGCGATGATGCTGATACTTGATCCTCACACTTCATCTTTTTAGCATTTGATTTGATACCCGCTAGCATGTTATGTACAATTAGCAATAACATATCCTCATGTCTATCCTATGAAAATCTCCAAATTTATCCCCGCCTACTTGATTCAGGCAACTGGATCTCCTGTACCTGCACGAACGGCTCCTTTCACATCCAGATTCTCCTCTTCCTTCAGTTTCCGCTGTCTGAGCGCTTCCCTCTCGGCGGCCTCTCCATCGGGTTCTGCAGGACTCTGGCCAACACGGTCGCCTAGAATTCGATCATGCTCTTCCCTCTTTCGCCCCATGTCCGCAGCAAGATCCCTTTCTTCTCCGAATCCAGGGTTTCCAGGCCCTTGTGCACTGCCAACGGGACCGGCATGTGCCCCAGCCTGCGCTCGCTCGCTTTTCTGTCTTACCGCCTGAGCAATGTCTCCTTCTGCGGGTTGCTCCTCCACGCCATATTCCAAGTCAACATCAGAGGCGGCTTGCAGATTCTTCTGCTCCTGTTCGCGCCTTTGCTTTAGTCTTGCGAGTTCTTCGTCATTGGATGGTTTGGAGTCTGCGGTACGACGGGTAATGGAGGATACAGGATCACCGCGCTGGCGCTGGTGAGGCTGAACTCGCTGCTCTTGGGGTGTCTGGGTGACTGGGTTCTCGGGTTGGTCGTATGCGGCTTGCTTAGAGGGCTGCGCTGGTTGTTCGGGTGATTCCATTTTGATAATGCTTGCGAATGCAGCTAAGTGATGAAAAACAAAATGGTAGAGAGGAGCGACACAATGGCTTCGTCTTCTTGTAATTGCACAATAGATTGATTCATACAATGTCTGGCGTCCTCGCGGTAGATAAGCAGTTTGAAGGATGCATGACGTCAGTGACGATGCCTTGCATCAGTCGCGATCGTCCTATGTGATGATTTCCATCTAGAGGGGTACACCGTGGGATATGTAGGTGAAGCACAAAACAATCGATCTGATTTACTGGAAACTTTGGCTATCTACCTTGTCTTGTCATTGCTTGCCGTTCAAGACTTGATGTGTTCTGTGTAGTGACTTCATGCACTGGGACCACTGTCACATTTTATGTATACCGCCGGACAATTACCAACCCGGTTGAAGAGACCTCCATAATGCTCCTTTCAATTATAATTCTTTGACCTGCTCATCGGCTGTATTTCCAATCGTAGAGTGCATCAATGACCTGTCTTCGTTTTCTACGCTTCTGGAAGTAGATAGCTTACTGATTTACGATTTGCTGATGATCATTGATCTCAAGAGGCCTGAGACCTACAAGGCGACCAGGGCCAAGTCAGCCCCATCGAAGAACTAAACCGCATATCTTGGAAGTCACATTACGGGAGTGTCATCCAATATATGGAGGTTGAGGTCCGATTCTTGAGCTGGATCAACACACTTGGGAACGTTGGAGCTGAGGAAGGGAGAACTGATTTAATCCTGAAGACTTGAAGGGAGATTGATATTCGATTCTATGCTCTTCTATAATACATTAACATTTCTTCGAGTGAAGTTCGTCTAGCAGCTGTCACCGTCTGCGGTTGCGTGGAACACACCAGGCTGACTATATTTTACCAGCCAAGTCAGGGCGTGCAAGAAATGATTCGAGTATAGCATTGAGTTCTTCCCTTGCCTCCAGCTGTACCCAGTGACTTGTTGTACTGACTCGCTTGAGCGTAAAGTCCTCGGCGAAGACCTTCATCTGCTCAAGAAAACCGGGTATCTCGAACTTGTCGGGTTGCGGACCGATCATGAGGACTGGCATCTGGAGTTTTGCATCGAGGTTTGCTTCGACCTCGTCATCCTTGTTCACATTCCTGATAAGAGCGTGATACCAGTTGAGTGCTGGCTTGTGG